ACATCTGTAGGGTTTCTCACCAGTGTGGTTTTCATGTGAGACTTCAGATGACCCAGCTGACTGAACTGCTTGCTGCACTCGTCACATCTGTAAGGTTTCTCACCAGTGTGAGGTTTCATGTGAGACTTCAGATGATCCAGCCGACTAAACTGCTTGCTGCACTCCTCACATCTGTAGGGTTTCTCACCAGTGTGAGTTTTCATGTGAGACTTCAGATGACCCAGCTGACTAAACTGCTTGCTGCACTCCTCACATCTGTAGGGTTTCTCACCAGTGTGAGTTTTTATGTGTCTCTCCAGACTAACCAGCTGACTAAACTGCTTGCTGCACTCCTCACATCTGTAGGGTTTCTCACCAGTGTGAGTTTTCATGTGAGACTTCAGATGACCCAGCCGAATAAACTGCTTGCTGCACTCCTCACACCTGTAGGGTTTCTCCATGTTGCGAAGAATCTGCAGAGACAAAATGAAGCATCATTAAAAACCCAAAAGACGGCAGACTTACATTTTTTTTACATTGACTGATTGAGCCCCTATTGTAAGTTGGTGGTATTTTTATACCTGTAATTTTGAATTTTAATCCGAATAACTTGCATGTAGGAATGAGTTCCAGAAACCTTAACATAAAATTGCCACAAAATTTCCGGAAAAGGATTTTCAATAATAACGTATATAATAAATGTGCTACCGGTACAAAATGGCGGAAACTACAGTATTTTGGCTCGGGGGCAACAAGAGGGGTTTGGAGTATACCTTACATGAATTGTCTTGCGTCCTGCATACCTTTTCTTTTTTTAAATACAGATGACCACTAAAAATTACTCTGAAACTGGAAATGCATTTTATTTTAACTTGTTTAAGAATATATAGCTGTTACAACTCCTAAACTCTTAGTCTTCTTTCATAAAGTTTCTTCGTAAACCCCTAAAGAGCCTACAGAGAACATTCCTCCATGTGACAAATTTCCCGCCATTTTCGACGGTGCGAAAAACAGCAAAATTACACGCCAATATTTGTCAAAATTCCACCTCCAAGCTCTGGTATACTTTCGTCAACAGCCACAGACGATATTTCGTCATAAATATTTAAAGTTTGTCGTTACACAAGCAAGGAGTTCTCTAGAATGTCCTTGTTTACAAGTTAACAGCCTTCCACAGCGTCATCTGAATATTCTATCACAAGTATATTTTTCTACCAATTTTACAAAGCCTTTATGCTCCAAATGCAACACATTAAACGCTAGTAATCTTACCTGAACAACGATAGCAGCTTGTTCGAGTTGTACGAGTCGACATTCAAGAGAGAGACTGCCGCTTTCCTCGCCGACGGAAAGAACAAGAAAGGGAAGTTGCGGCCTGATGACCCGGAAGCATTCTAAGGTCAAGGGTCAAACGGTAACTCCTGATTATTGGTTTAATGTAGCAGAACAGTTTTTGCCTTATAAGGACCCCCAAGGTTAACTTTATAGTAGGGCACACTGGAGAAACACGGCCAACTATTACAAATACACGTGTGTTACGATATATGGTATAATAATGCTTTATTTGTTTTGTTCACAATGTGTATATATAGAGAGTGGGGCCAAAACATTAATTAAAGAGCCCATAAAATTCAATACATGACATACATGTAATACGACTATATTGCGTTCAGAAAATCAGCTACTAGTATCTACAGGTTTGACTATCAGGCGAAGCTAAGGCCACACCGACTTAATTTATAGATGACATCCACGCGCGCATTGATCTAAATGTTCTACCTGTTCTAAAAAAAAAAAGTTAACGTCCATCGAGGATCTGGCCTGGCTATTGGCCCGGGTAGTCCATGCATGGAAGTTAGCGAAGATACCGTACTGATTCCTGTCCTCATGAGAGGTTAAGTTGGATGAAGAGAAACAATCTACAAATATCTGCAATGAAGAGTGTCCCAATTTCCTACCTGGCCCGACACTACTATAACTCTTTACTCACGTGATATTTAAGGGTTAATGACCCGCCCCGAGGTGAATATGGTGTGATAAAGCCTTGTCAGTTGCTATAACCACCGAATAGAGCCACCAAGTGAGCGCAGCGAACGAGGTGGCTTTATGAGGTGGTTATAGCAACTGACAAGGCTTTATCACACCATATTCACCGAGAAAGGGCGGGCCATTAACGCTATTATCATATAGCTTACACGATAGCCTATCCAAACTGATGCAGTAAGTGACACAATGTACAATTTACCCGTTGCACATGCTGAATAGAACATAGTTCCATCTGGAGTCACCTGAGGTCACTGGGTAGAGTTCACGTTCTATGTCTTCTATCTGGGTCACAGGCAGGGAACAGGTGTTCTTATGGGAGTCACCCGAGGTCATTGGAACACAACTCAAGTTATTTTTGGATTTTTTAGAACTAGAGCCGTGTTCTATTGGGTCACCTGAGGTCATATGCGGGTGATTATTGGGTTTGTTTAATGTATGGATTGGGATGAATAAATACCCGATTTTGACTCTATTTGTGACATTACGGTGTCATAAGGAATGTGGAATGGAGCCTTCTGATTGGTCAACGTCACCCGGCTATATGATAATTCACATTAAGACATGGGCTGCACTTTCTGCAAGTATTCGAAACGTACTTTTAAGGGAACAGCCTTACACTAGGTTAGAACTACTAAGCAGCTAACGATATTAGTGCTGCAAATATCAAGCGTCAAAAATTTGAACCAATCAAAAGAGACATTAGAAATTCAACGATGCCGAGCAGACATCTATTGGGTGTACCTATTGGTCCATCTTTGTCTACCCTGATTGGTCACTCATATTTGAATGAACCAATCAGCATCCACATCATGAAGTTGACCCGTCAAATATTTGAACCAATCAAAAGAGACATTAGAAATTCAATCATGCTGAGCAAAAATTCATTGGGTGTACCTATTGGTCCATCTTTGTCTACCCTGATTGGTTAGTCAATTTGAATGAACCAATCAACATCAAATTCAATAGAGGGCTACATACGGGATACTGACAGTGTCGTATTACCGAAGCCGCACAACACAGTATTTATGGGCGGGCACAAAGTAGTGCTGCACAAAACTAGAGAAAGGTACAAAGATTGTTCGGTGCATGGCGTCGAGATGGAACCTGTGATCAATGTTAGAGGAATACGTCAGTTTTGAGACTGTAAAAGTTGAATTGTGGTGCGTGTTCAGTCGGCGTAGACTTGCGCTTGGATACTGGTGTTGTGCCGCACAACGGTAGTGAACAATGATTGGTCAATTGATTTAAGTGAACCAATCAGCATCCACATCATGAAGTTGACTTCTTTGCTGCAGTTCCGGGCCAAACTGCTATGCCCAAGTGGCGTCCTTGTACCGTGGCGGGGCCGTAAACTGACTAAACAGGTGTGATTACGAAGTTTTTAACAAACGGAGAGATGTTTAGGACAGTCTTGTAGAATTAACTTGACAATATTTTCATGCTGTTGTTTCCAAGGTCTTCCAGGAGTGCCAGAATGTCGCTGACAATCGTCCAAGCGGCCACGATCAGTATGTTTCCTGTGACTGTAACGTTACGGTCGATGAATTTGCCGTTAATTTTGGGGAATTCTTCAGCCAGGGGCAATTTTCAGGAAGTATTTCGAACACAGATGCGTTATTTGTAACCTTTTCGATGTCATTTTGATTTGTTGTGCCCAAGGAGGCTCTAGAAAACATGCTATAATAATATGCACCGTATTCTTGCCATGCAACGGTCCAAAATGCTGCAGTTAGCAGATGGCAGAAAGAGGGCGCTAAAATGAGACCGTAAAAAAGGCTGAATTAATGAGATGCGCCGTCCATTGTCGTAGGCACAGAATTCGTCAATATTCCTGTGATTTTATCAGTTGTGGCTGCATTTAGATGATAGGAAAATATACCTTACATATTTATCAAGGCGATAATTTCTGTTTATGGCTACTGCTGCACAGAAAAAAGCAACATGAATCGTTGATAACAGTGAACGAAAGTGCCCCCCTCCCCACCACCTGTTCTGACAACAATTCTGTAGTAAATAGAACGTAAAAGAATTATGTATATGACAACGCTTATAACTTCTCATTTTATGTCCTTTTGCTTACACCAATGTAAAGTTCCTGCAACGCATAAAAAAATAAAATAAAACAGAAAAATTCCGTCGTAAGAACTCCCATAATGCTTTTGACCAAAGGACGTTGACCTTGCTGGTGAACTCCCCCCCTCCCCCTAATGTGCGTATTACGGCACTGTGTCACAAATGCTGTGAGCGAGGCCATTGTATGAACACCTAAGAGTGTAATTTTCGTTTCATTAAAAGGTTTTATTAATTCTGGATTGAAATGATCAAATGAGATGAGATATGGCCCATAGTTTACACGTTGTAACTGCGTGTGTTGAACCGCTCCACCGAGACCAGTCAGTAGTGACCTCTAGCGGTCCAGTCACGAACTGCAGTACCAACATTGAACATGGCTGCCACCATCATTTTCACTCAGTCAGTTTCACTTACGACGTTTTCATAGTTACGGTGATAAATAGATGAGGCCACGTCCTGCAATTTTTCAGAAAGAAAGGGACCAGAGTCTTGTACGAATTTTTTTTTTTT